CAGTAGATATCACGCATGAGCAGGAACGAGAGCTAAGTCAGATGAAGACAGGTTGAGCTACACAAAAGTGATTATGCTGGAGGGGGCCTACCTTCCTTGTTTCATGTTGGGGGCGTTAGGTGTACTCTTTTTCCCTTTATTAGGATTTTTTCCCACTGGGTTTTTTCCTAGTAAAGGTTTTTAACGAGGCACCTCCCCATCATGGACAAGGGTGGTGGTCCCCGGCCAGAGAGGAAGGAATCAAAGACAGAAGAACATTGCAGATACAGTTTGGACTACTCCCTTTCGCCTCGAGTACTCTCGACTCAGGGAGTGGGGGACTCCTGATGGAATATATGGACTCCGACCCCCCGGTCTGCCGACTACTGGGCCTGGACAGCGGCCCACACATGTTTAGCGGATATCATTCATATTATTGTACATTATTATTATTATTCAGATGTTCTAGATTAGCTTTTTATACTATCAGTCCATTTATGTAACCGGGTCTGTCAGGCCCATATTACAGGCCCAGACCCGGATTTTCCCTATATATACTCCTTATAGGAGGCTTGTAAACCATAACAAATATTCATTCATTCTATACACTTTCATCATTTCTTCTCCATTCTTGTTCAATTTCTCCTATTTATACAATATGGGTATCAATTATCCATCATATGGTGCTCTCGTTGAGAGGTTTGAACACAATCAAGTGAGAAAACCTCCCAAAACATCAAAAATTCATCCAAACCACAAAAAAGAGATCGAGCAAAAATTGTCAAAAAAAAAAGAATCTGGAATCTGCAAGATCTATGCCGGAAGTGCTGACGCCAGTCGCCGCTGTCTGCCAAGCCGCCACAATGGAATCTTTCATCTGGAACTCGCCATACTCGTTCACAGATCTCGCCTGTCGCGGAGTGCCGCTAGATAGAGCTTGCTGAAGCTCATCGCCACACCAGTACGCTCAGATTTGGAAGTCTCTCTTGAGCCGGAGCTGTCATCATCGTCCAGGATGCTCCCGTGCGAGGAAACGTCTGCGGCTGCTCCAGATCTCGCCACCAACGTGAAAGGATCATCGTCCAGATCCTGTGCTCGCCATTCCAGATCCAGCCCCACTGGATCTCACTAGCAGTTGCTCCTGGTCGCAACCCACGTCCCCGCACACCCTATCAGTCTGACGGATTCATTCTGATGAGCGGACGAAGCTCCCAAGCGATCCAAGCGGCGGCCCCGCTAGAAGAAACCCAAGCAGCAGCAGTTTTGTGGGACCTTCTTCCACTTTCCGGCGACGACTAGCCACGGTACCGGTGATGTTTCCAACTCCCGGCGTTCCGAATTAGTGACGTCCGTGCGCGAGCAGCAGCAAGGCATGGCAGCTGAGGTTGTCAGAAGGTTGCTCCGCGCCTCTCACTCCTTTCATTTCCGGCAACACCAGAGAATGGTTGGGCTGGCCTGGTCAATGGTCATCTCCAAGCTTAGGAGGAAGCTGCCTGCCTTCGGATAAGATGGCTAGCCAAGTTGTGATGAAATCTACTCATTAAAAGACTTGGTGTAGGAGGAAGTTGCCTAGCTTCGGATAAGATGGCGTACTGCAGCAACATGATGGTGGCCAGTTTGACCAAGTCAAAATTGAAGAGAGGAATCCAATCTGATCTCACTAAACTCTTAGAACCGTGGGAGCCCAATCAAAAGCTTACCAATTCTCAGCCCATTAATTTCAGCCCATTTAAAGATAAGTACTCTTTAATTTTCATATTATTTATGCTTATTTAAATCATTTTTTCCGGTTAAATGTCACATCATCACGCAATTATGATCAAATGCCTAGTAGACCGTGGCTTGAGACCCATCACTAGGATTTAAAGCCCTGACCCAGAGCAGGCACAAAGCCCTGACCAAGTCAGGCACAAAGCCCCGACTAAGTCGGGCACGAAGACCGGTCTTAGTCATTCCAAGAGTGGCGACCGTTGCGTACGAATGGCTCGCATGTCCACTCTACTAAGTATTTTATCATTACATTGACAATTCACATTTCCACTTTTTCAAGTGACGAACTCTCGATCGGAAACATAAACCCCAAGAAAAAAATTTATATGCATGTTAAATGTGTAGGTACGAAGATGACTTTACTCATTTTCGCCTCGTCTCCACTCGCCTCAAAGAGTGGGGACTGGGGGACTGAGGGGTCAGAGTTTCTAGATGAGCAGAAAATATCACACATGAGCAGGAACGAAAGCTGAGTCAGATGAAGAGGAGCTGTGCTAGACAAAATTGATTATGTCGGAGGGAGCTTACCTTCCTTGTTTCATGTTGGGGGCGCTAGGTGTACTCTTTTTTCCCTTTATTTGGATTTTTTCCCACTGGGTTTTTTCCTAGTAAAGGTTTTTAACGAGGCACCTCCCCATCATGGACAAGGGTGGTGGTCCCCGGCCGGAGAGGAAGGAATCAAAGACAGAAGAACATTGCAGATACAGTTTGGACTACTCCCTTTCGCCTCGAGTACTCTCGACTCAGGGAGTGGGGGGACTCCTGATGGAATATATGGACTCCGACCCCCCGGTCTGCCGACTACTGGGCCTGGACAGCGGCCCACACACGTTTAGCGGATATCATTCATATTATTGTACATTATTATTATTATTCAGATGTTCTAGATTAGTTTTTTGTACTATCTGTCCATTTATGTAACCGGGTCTGTCAGGCCCATATTAGAGGCCCAGACCCGGATATTACTATATATACTCCTTTAGGAGGCTACACAACTCATACAATCAATATTCATTCTATACACAATACTACTTCTTCTCCTTCTTTCTTGTTCAATCTCTCCTTTTCATACAATATGGGTATCAATTATCCAACAATGGTGCTCTCGTTGAGAGGTTTGAACACAAGAAACCAAGAAACCAAGTTTCTTGATGCCTTCCCTTCACCACCAACCAAAAAAAAGAAAGAAAAAAAAAGAGGGGGTGAAGGGGAGTAGACTCAGCGAGAAATCAAAGAGTACACTCCAACAGATCACAACAAGCCGAGGACTCCCTACAATCAAAGAGTACCTCCGGTAACTGAAGGCTCCTATTTCCCGAAGGATACTACTCGAACAAATAGCAGCAAGGTACCTTCAAATATGTACCGAAGGCAGCTGTTATACATTAATACCGAGGGCCCCTACCCCATTACAAGGGACACAACTGGCTGAGTCAAACTCTACAACTCTTCAGAGTGTACGCCGAGGGCACACACTCCTGATTGGCCTTCTTCACAACAACGGGATTCAACATCAATTTACGCAAAGTAATGTAGAGTCAGGGGGCACCTATCACCCGATGGCTACACAAGGAAGCAGCACTCGAAAAAAATTCTAAGTCCTAAAGATTGGGCCCCCGGCCCAATCAATATTACTGCCAAGGGAATATGGTAGCCGAAGGCCAGGCAATACAACAACGCTTAAAAAATATTCTGTCCTAAATGAGCAGCCCCCGGGCATCTCGCAGAGTGATGTGGAATCAGAGGGGATGCCATCTCCCGAAGGCTCCCAAGGGAAGATCTACACTCGGAATATTTTCTAAGTCCTACATATTTCCCCCCCGGTCAACTACTCATACATCAAGAAGGGATGCCATCTCCCGAAGGCTCCCAAGGGAAAATCTACACTTAGAAATCTTCCTAAGTCCTACATATTTCACCCTCATCTTATAAAGGGACCTAATAGCCGAAGGCTACCTATCAATCGAGGGCTACAGTGCACAAGGAATCGACACTCAAGAAAATTTTCTAAGTCCTAAAGAATTGGCCCCCGGCCTATTCAATATTTCAGTTGGGATTCCCCAGTAGCCGAAGGCTACGTGACATACTACACTTGCAAGAAATTTCTAAGTCCTGTACATTGGGCCCTCGGTCCAACATTCACACATCAGGAAGGGATGCCATATCCCGACGGCTTTCAAGGGGAAATCTACACTTAGAAATTTTTCTAAGTCCTAGGATTTGGGTTACTACAAACGCCCGAAGGCCTCATGCTGTGCTACACTTAGAAAAAATTTCTAAGTCCCAATTCCTGCTAAACCCTCGGTTGTATGTCCAGCAGAGGATGCCCAACTACCGAAGGCTCCCAAGGGCTAGCTACAATCAGATAATATTCTAAGTCCTAAAATATACATTCAAAGGAGCGGAGGCATACATTCAAAAATACCGAAGGCATACATTCAAAAGGGAAGGAATTAAAAAAAAAAAAGGGCCATAGATACAAAGCCCGAAGGCATTCAATCATTCATCACAACAAGGAGTAAATATAGTTATTACAATGTTAGGCCGAGGCTATTACAAAATTGTTCAAATTACAGAGTACATATCAAATAATGTCATTCCCGGGGGCCGCCTCCCCCGATGGCTTCGAGGTAACTTCTACATCGGCCTCAGGATCGTCGCCCTCGGCTTCCCTTCGGAGCTCGGAATCCTCCAGGTCTGGCCTCTCGACATCAGGGGGGAGAGGAACACGGATATCTGGCTGCAGGGGGGAGCCCGTACGCCGCCGGGTCAAAGTCCTTCGGCTCAACCTTCAGATGGCGGGCCATCCTCCGGTAGATGAGGGCTTGAGTGAAGAACTCACCCCCATCATAATACTGCTTACCCTTCCGGGCCATCCACTCCTCCCCCGGGCCCTCGGACCATTCATCAACCGAGGCCTCAACAACCGAAGACAGCCATGCCTTGTGCCCCTCGGTCTTCCACCCCCCGTCCAGGAACCCGGAGATGGCCTCCTCCCGGGCTGTGGCGACAGCCTTCGCCTTGATGGCCTCGGCCTCCTCGGCTGCACTCCTTGCGGCCTCCGCAGCGGCCGCCTCAACTTCTGCCTTCTCCTCCCTGAGCCTCCCGGCCTCCTCCCTCGCAAGCCGGAGGTCCTCCTCAAGCTGGGCCATCAGCTTCGTGGCCTGGGAGTCCCTAAGGATCAGCTCCTTCATCTTGGCGTCTTGCCCAGTTTTGTGGAGGCGCCATTCCTCCAGCCGTCGGAATTGCTCCCCGAGGGCAACGCAAGTCTGCAAAGATAAGCGGGTTGTCAGGGCCGAACGTGATTTCTTAGTTCAAAGTGGGAAACAGAAAGACAAACTACAGTGAACTCACCGTGAGGGAAGACCGGAGGATCCTGTCTTCAAGGGCTTGATCATCATCGGCCCCGAGAGCTGCCCTGTCGATATCGAGGGTTATACCTCTCAGGAGCGCCCTCGGGTCAGCCGTGCCATTCAACACGGCCGTGCCAGCCGGAAGGGAGAGCGTGAGGACCTCGAGAGATGGCTCCCGGACCCCCCTCGGCGCCTGCGCCATCGGCATCTCCGGAGGGTCATCTACAATCACCACCGGGGGGTCATCCTTCGCGGCATCCCCCTTCTTCAACTTTTTGGGGGCTTGGGGGGGCTCCTTTGCCGACGGCTTTCTCTTAGCCGCAGCAGCATCGCCCTTGGGCTTTTTGGGAGGCGCACCGACGGGCTTTTGGCCACCAGCGTCCGGCCCCTTCGGATCCTTGGCCGGTTTGTTCTTGAGTCGGGCGAGGCCTTTGACGTTCATCATACTTACTGGAACACCTGCAAAAAAATGAGGGGTTAGGATCGAGGGGTCACTACTAAGTGGCATAAAGAATTAACAAAACAAATGAACAAACGTGCTAAGATATGAGGGTGAGAATGCCCTCAGCTACTACCTCCGGAGGCTCCCTCAAACACTGGGAACTTCTCATCAGTTTCCCCCAAGAACCGGTACCGCCGGAACCCGAGGGTGTAGAGATCTGCTTCTTTGGTGCAATCCTTGATGGAGATATTCTTGTCCCGGCCCTCCGGGATCATGGCCAGAATCCTGCCATCTTTCTCGAGGGCAGCGCTCCTCCTCTTCTCGTGCCTCCTGAAGCGGTCACGCAGCTCCCTCGGGAAGGGGCTCTCGGCTAGCTTCACATAGCACCACCGGTCCTTCCACCCCTTGTTCGAGGAGGGCGCCTCAGTGAAGAGTTTGAACGCGGACACTTGCTGCAGATTGGCGAACCCCTCGGCATTCGCGTGCCCCCCCGGCACAGGTTGAAGCTCTGGAAGAAGAGGTCCAGGCAAGGCGTCACCCCCCCCCCCCCCCAGGACTTGCAAAGCTGAAGGAAGCCAGTGATATAAGAATGGTTGTTCGGGGTCAGCTGGCAGGGAACCAGACCCACGAACCGAAGATATTCCCGGAGGAAGGGGTGCAGGGAGAAGCGGAGCCCCATGGATACTGAGAGGACGTGCACCGCAATGCAGCCCTCAGGAGCCCGGGAGAGAACGTCATCCGGACCCGGTGTCACCACGATGGCCGAGGGGCCCACGTGAAGCTGGGTGACATAGATGTCCGCCGCATCAACCTTCGACTTGATCTCCAATGCGGCGGTGTTGAGATAGGAGTACCCCTCGAGCATATCGAGGGGCTTCCCTTGATCTGCTACGCTGCCCTTTTTCTTGGGAACAGCGGCCTTGGCCTTCTTCTTTCCGGGAGCCACCCGGATGGGGACCGCATTCAGCGGCCGAGAGGTGCTGGCCTCCCCGGCACCCCGAGGGGGGAGCACAGCGACGGTGACCCTCTCGCTTTCTCTTTGTGCCTCCTATTCAGCTGCTTGCCAGGCGATGGCCAACTCTTCGTCCTCACATTCTTGCTCAAAGCCCTCGGCTTCCGCCTCAGCTACGAGGGATTTCTGCAACTCCAGGGCAACGACGGCATCCTGTCCCACCGAGGACTCTGCACTTGAGGACTCCACGTCCGAGAGGACTTCATCCTCCACCGAGGGCGCCCCCGAGATATCTTGAGAATCACTCTGGGACGACATGCTGACTCTAGTTCGAAGGCTCGTAGACGCTAGTGTTTTCTAAATTTTCTATCTCCTAACCTAAGGGCACAGTATAGGCAGCTAAGAGGTGAAGGGAAAGCGGGCACTGACCTTGAAAGCAGAAGTTTTGACCGAAGGCCTGAGTTTCTCTCACTAGAATTTTGGGCAGAGCTTCGCTAAGACAAATGATCCCACAAGGGGAAATGGCTCTGGCCTTGGGGTATTTATAGGCGCCGGAATCCGGGCTTGGGCCCGGAAACCGGGCCTCCGGACGGACCGTCATCATTACACACCGTCGTTTCACCCAACCGGTGACGCCGCCCACGAACAGCCACCCATCACACGCCACATGTGCCACCCCCCCAAAGGCTATATCCTGTCGTTACATATTCCAACGGCTATATTTCCAACGGCTATATTCTGGAAGCCCCCGGGTTTTCTACTTCACTCCTCTTCATCAAGGATAGCCTCCGGGTACAATCACTCAAAAGTGCCCCCTGGTTGTGCCCCGCACAGCACATAACAGCCGCCTTCGGGATCACTCCTTCAGAAACCCGAGGCTTCATATCAGGGCACCCCTCGGGGATTCCCCCTCAGCACTGCAAAACCGGGTAGCCCCCGGGGAGTGCCTCATTGACGGATGGCCCATGGCACACAGGTAATGGGAGCCCTCGGGTATCTTCATCACCAACTAATCAACAAACAGTGGACCCCCCGGTAACAACTCCATTGTCGCCCTCATCCAGCAGGCCCTCGATCCCCGAATTGAGGGGCTCCCCTTCGGCGCCACCAGGACATCAACAGCAAGCCTTCGGCTAATCAACACAGGAGCCTTCAGAAGAGAGAGCCTTCGACATTCCCGTCATTCTCCACTTTATACCAAGGTTTGACATTTTCGATTCATCATTGGGGGAATTCGGTGCACTCTTTTTCCCTCATTAGGATTTTTTCCCAAAGGGTTTTTCCTAATGAGGTTTTTAACGAGGCATCCCCCCAAAATGAAACGAAAAAACGACAGCCTTCGGCCCACAACAGCAACGCAACTGCTCTACTCCTTTTCACCACTTTACAAGTGCCTCAAGGAGTGGGGGACTGGAGGACCCCCTCGACCCCCTCGGGAAAATCATTAAATTACAAAAGATGTAGAAACTCCAACAAACAACAAAGCAAGCCCTCAAGTCCCGACATGTGGGTAACTGAGGGACTGCCTTCGGCAGGGACATAAAAGCAACAACTCCTCACCAACTTCAGAGATCACGACGGGACAACATCAAAGGGCAAGCACAAATTACTCCTTTTCCCTCAAGTACCTTTCGGCAAAAGGAGTGAGGGACTCCTGATGGAGTATATGGCCCGGGAACCCCCGGCCCACAGACTCCTACTACTCCAGCGAAGGCCCAACAGGCCCAGCAGGCCCAAATCACAGCGCCCAGAGTACCAAGCAGTCCGCACAACGCGCCAGGGGTGCCTTCGCCCCCCTGGCCGAAGGCTCCAAATTCTCACAGAACGGGTTTCTCAAGCAAATTAAGAAACTGGGAGAAAACGGCGAAAACAGTAGCCCTCGGCACTGTGAGCCCTCGGCACCAGGGTGCCATCGGGTGGAAGAGCCCTCGGCTACTGCTCTATAGCCGAAGGCATCTCACTCGACAAGATATCCGCCTCACATGCGTACAGATCACCGTACCCCGCACAGACGTCCCATCCAACAGCCGCATTAAATGCGGCCACATGCGGCTGCCAGCGCCAACCAGTTGAGATGACCCCTCGGCCAATAAGCGCTTGACACGTGTCCCTGCCCGGCATTTATTGCTACTATAAATAGCACCCCATTTCCTCATTTGTAACCACGCTGAAAACGGCACTCATACTGAATACACTCTCTCTCTACTTTTATTTACGTGCTCTGACTTCTCTCTAAGTTATTCCCCGTAATAACCCTTCGGATATATACCCCCGGGTAGACTATCCATCACTCACCTCTCTAGAAATTTGAACCGCACATTTTCTATACATTATCGTTTCACGTACAATTCCAGTCAACATTGGCATTTTTTTTTATGATCCACGTGTTTGTGCTTGCACTCCCCTAATTATGGAGTCTATGAACTACCCTCGAAAGCCTCCAGACAGTTAAATCTGAATCTGATCATAGTCAACCTTCGTCGGTACTGGTTGCATAGGACGAATCCAGCAGGACAGCCTGTTAACTGAATCCAGCAGGGTCCTCTCACTATGCGGACTCGGTAGGCCTGAAAATTCAAGACAAATCCAGCAGGACAACCTGAATCCAACAAGGTCCTCCCACCACGCGAACTCGGTAGGCCTGCATTTCGATCCTCTCCCTTCTTAGTCGATGTGCCACTCCATTAAGGTAGGAAGAGTCATTGGGAGCAAGACCTCCCCCCTCTCCCCTAAATGTGCCCAACGGGTTGCGAACCTGAGACCTCCACTAGGCACGGTAACCTCCCATCCAGTGAGCTGGAATGCATGGTCATGGGAAAATTTATGGGAATGGAGGTAGTATATATCTCCCTTTAACCAATGCTTACCAAAAACTGGATTTGCAACAATATTATGCAAATGACTAAATTGAAACCTACTCGGCTACTCCCTTGCCCTCTCTTGTTTATGTAGTTAAGACACCGATAACCTGGAGTATTCCTCATCAAATCATTGCTCGTGTAGAGCAACTTATTTAGTCTACTCAAACCAAGTATTTAGAGGTCGTTTGGTCATTCTGATTTCTCGCTTATCAATAAACTTTAAAACCAAATGTGTATGTTTTGATTTTGTGCGTTGAAATATGTAATAATAAGAAAAAAATTGGTATAAAGTTAATTTTCTCGCCGTATTGACTGAAGTTGCTGTAGAAAATCATGTTAGATGTTTCTCATATAAATTTTTCTGTATTTTATTATTAAGATATATTCTAAATATAATTTTCTCATAAATCAGCAGAATCAGTCAATGCAGCCACTTCTGTCAAAACTTCATAAATTTCAGCAGAATCAGTCAATGCAGCCGATTTGAATGTTCAATTCATTTAGAGAAGGTATTATATTCCTCATCTTTTAGCTTCGCGTGCACTCTTTATTCTACAAATTGTCCCAATGTTAGTGTAAAAGAAAAGGAGTTCAATTCCATTATAAATGAATAAATCAACACAAACCCGCACGGGTAGCTCAGTTGGTTCAGTGATAGGAAATTTGGAACATTGACCAAGGTTCGAAACTTGCAGCGATCGTGTGGAGGTTACATCTCCTGCGTGCTGGGCTGGGCCTCTCGTGCGCACGGGTATAAAGCCTACCATCATTGGACTGATAGAGTCACCGTAACTTACATCCTCCCAAATATCCTATCAGGTCGGGGTGTGGGGGACCCTTGGGTTGGGGATTCAACCTTTTGTTTGGAACATTAATAAATCAACACAAACTTCTCAGCATCAAACAAGAAAAAAATGGATGACACCTCATCCCTGAGGCCCCCAACCCTGACCGGACGGTGCGTTGGGAGGATGTAAATTGGAATATAATCCCAATCTGACAGATAGTAGGTGAGGCTCTTTCCCCGGTACTTGCAGAGACCCTATACATTTTTAGCATAGTAACCCCCATCGCAGATGGCGGGATTCCAATCTGAGACCTAACTCTTGTGGCACTCCCTTGCTACCAGTTGAGCTACG